CCCTACGATGCCCTCCACATGCAGCCCCTGCACCCCCGCTAACAGCCACGGGCTTTCACCACTCACGGGCCAGACCTGCGGATGCCCAGATTGTGACAGACACAGGATAAAGCCTTTGCAACCCAGTTCAAATACGTATTCAATCCTTATTGTATGCCAACACGTGTGCACAGGTCCCAGGGAAAAATGAAAGTGCAGGCCCCTTGTTTTCATAAATGATTAAGAATTTCAAAAAGGTGGGAGTGAAGCATTGAACACTTCTAAGCAGGGGGTCCTATGTGACTGCACAGGTTATGTGTTTGTGAAGCCAGCCTGGTCAGTGCTTTACACACCTGGTTTCATTTAACTCCCACAATTACCTGATCAAGAACATGTGCCCTGTGAGGCTCAAGGAAGTTAAATGACTTACCCAAGGTCATATAGCTAGTAAATTTCTGTTGCTTATAACAGAATACCTGAAACTTGGTAATTTATCAAGAAACAGAATTTATTTCTTACAGTTTGGGAGGCTGGGAAGTCCAAGGTCCAGGGGGCACAGCTGGTGAGGGCTTCTTCCTGTTGGGGACTCTGCAGAGTCCTGAGGCCGTGCCGGGCATCACATGGCAAGAGAGCTGAGCTAGCAGGCTTTTTCCTCCACTCATAAAGCTACCGGTCTCTCCCATAATGATCCATTGATCCATGAATGGATTAATCCATTCATAATGCATAGCCCTCTGATTCAATCACCTCCCAGTAAGGGAGCCAGGATTTTGAACTGACACCAAGCCGGAGCTCATAACCACTATGTGGTTGCCACTCCCAGTGAGCACCGGTGACGAGGCAAGACTTTCAAGAGCTACAAGGAGGCTCATTTATTCCCAGCAATGGGCAACATGGCCAGATCTCATGGGGCCCAAATCCTAGGAACCTGTTGTCTATGAGGAACTCAGCTGTGCAGAGCAAACTTGGTCCCCATCAAAGCCAGGCTTCACTTTACTCTTCAGTTCAGTGAAGATCTGATCAGAGGCTGGAGGACTCTTCTCTCCAAGAGCCATGGGTGCTGGCTGGGAGACTGTCACCTCTGACTTTCCCAGAGCCTCTTGAGTAGGGGCTTTTGAGCAGGAATGCCACTACTGTCTGCCTGCCTGTCTAATCTTTTTCTTTTCATTCCCAAAGAACCAGCGGCGTAGAGGCAAGGGGCATGATGGCCTTTACCAGGTAAGAGCCACTGGCCTTCCTTACCAGGGTGGCACTATCTGTCAAGGGGTGAGGTCAAGACTCCCATGTTTTTCTTGCTGGTGGCACCAGCTCTTGCCAACAGCTGGGCAGGGCAAGCCCAGGGCACTCATTTAGGCTAGTGGCAACTCCTCTGTCAATAAGTCCCTTGGGCAGGGCCAGGACTCAGCCATTCAAGCAAATGATTTGGAGGCTGTGGGAGCCCCAGGCATTGATTGGCCATGGCAGACACAGCAGCAGCTGCCCAGAGGGTGTGCAGTCTCCCCAAAGGGACAGATGTAGGCAAAGGATGCCACACAAGTGAAGTCCTGCCTCTTTGTTTGTGGCTCTGCACCCTCGCAGAAGCCACCCTCTGCCTTGTATCCACAGACCTAATGAGATGTGAGAATGAGTGGGAAGACTGAAGAAAATAAAGTTAAGAAAAATGACAACTTCAAAAAGAAAATGTTACTGTAGTCAGGTGCCTGGTTTGTACAAATCAGTGCAAATAATTATGAAAACTCAGTGCAGTCAAGCTACTCGTCTACAATATGACCCCCAGTGGGTTCTCATTTCTCTCCTTCTGGCTCCCCTGGGCTGGCTGTTGAGAGCTTGCTCTTCTGACCCCCAAGTGTCAGGATGTCAGGCTTGCTTGGGTTCAGAGACATTAAAAGGGCCCAGAAACTCACCTGTGTGTGGCTGCTGTTGATGCATCTCAGTGACCTTGCCTGGGACCTTGCCTGCCTGTTCCCCGGCAACAAGGGGCTCAGGGAGGGAGGCCGGGAAGACACCACTTTCTGTCTCCCTGGGACAAGTCCAGGCTTCCTGTAGGCTCAGGCATCAGGGACAGCAGATTCTCTGAAGCAGGCCTGGGCCCTTTCCCCTGATTCCACCTCAGTCTTCATTTGAGGTGGGGGACACCCCTTCCTCTTTGATCCGACAGGAATTTGCCTGGGCTGTATGGTGCAGCACTTGGGAAGCTGGGAGGAGGGGTGAGAATTTAGGTGGAAAGGAGGTGCTGCCAGGCCATTCCCAGCAGGGCACAGAACCCCTCTCTCCTGCAGCCCTCTCAGCAAAGGCTCCCTACCTGTAGCATGAGGGGGCTCTTCCTGGGCCTCTGGAAGGTGGGTGGGAGGTCTCGGGGCTGCGCTGCAGAGGACACCAGTTGGCCTCCAAGTCAGCTCTGCCCACCCAGGCTCCTGCCCCACTCTTGTTGTCTGATTTGCTTCCACCAGGGTCTCAGCACAGCCACCAAGGACACCTACGATGCCCTCCACATGCAGACCCTGCACCCCCGCTAACAGCCACGGGCTTTCACCACTCACGGGCCAGACCTGCGGATGCCCAGATTGTGACAGACACAGGATAAAGCCTTTGCAACCCAGTTCACTCATATTTCTCAGCCACCAAAGTATTCTTCTTTATGAACAAGATGGTTCAAGTTGTAGCATTTGGTCATATCCAATTCCAAACTAGCACACACAGAATATTGTCCCTGGACTCTTTAAGGAGTATGCCCCCCAAGGTATGGCCTTCTTCTAGGGTCTTCTGGTTTGCTGGTGACTGGGCAGGCTGCTCTCCTGGCAGCTCCACACCTTCACCTGGGAGCCCGTCACACTCCCTCTCACAGCTGAATTGTTAAGTCTGTGTTTTGTAAAGTCCACAGAGAAACCCCAAATGTTGCCAAAGTCCTCATAGTCTGTACTGTTCTGTCAGTGTCTGAGTGGCTTTGCTCCTGCTGTAAATTTGGTTTCTGTTGTCAACCTTCCCCTCATTTCAAGGTAATCCGCAGTTGGCTGCGTTGCAGCTACCTGTGAAAAGGCTGAGCAGAGTGCAGATGGGAAGGGGCCGAGGCAACTGTGCACTCTCGAAGGGGCTGGAGAAAGGAAGCAGTGAATGGAGAAGGGGTGGGAGCAGGGAGGGGTCATGAAGGGTCAGCTAGAGCCCCCTGAGGGCAGCAAGAGGGTCCTTCTTCTATCAGGCCCATGTTCCATGTCATCGAACTTGTGTGTCGGGCACTACGGGAGCCAGAAGATAAGACTGTCCTTGGCTTTGTGGAGCTCACATTCTTAGAGGGGAGATGAGCTGTGCACCAACTTGTATAAAAACAGAGTAAGTCTCATTATAGAGGGTGCCTGAAGCACAGGGCGAGCAAGAGAAGGGAGCAAGATGCTTTCTTCCCATGCACACGCTGATGGAATGACAAACCCATCCTGCGAAGGTCTCAGAGGCAGACTCAGCAGCATACAGACCTGGGAAAAGTCACCACACCAGTACTGGAACACTTCTGTGAAATTAAAGGGCACATGGCCATGGATAGAAAACCCTCCTACTCTGCTTGGTATTAATTTATACTAGCTTGCTAAAGCCTTACTATTTTGCATAATAAATGCTTCAGTAAAAATGCTGCTTTACTCGAAATTTTATTTCAGCAGTCAAGCTTGATCAGTAATTTAGTCATCAGGAAATCAGCATGTTGACCTTGTAGGGATGGGAATCTTCTGGTTCTCAAGAGAAATCTAGGGGCCCAGAATGCTGCTGTGGGGGTGGCATCTGGGCTGGGTGGCTGTGCCTCAGGACAGAGAGAGCAGTGCTTGGTGGGTTGCAGTGTTGCAGCATGGGCCTGGGCTTATGCCAGAACCCAGAGGGGGTGATGGGAAGGGAGCCCTGCTGCATGGTGCCTAGCGTGTGGAGTGCAAGGAGAGAGGCCAGCCTCACATTCAGGCACCGGCAAGAGGCAACGCTGTGAGCAGAGGGTGTCTGGGAGTTACCAACAGCAACAGAAGCCACATCACAAAGTCTCAGTCCACAGGGTTTGGGAGAGGGATGGAGGACAACACAGGTGTTTCAGGTCAGTTTCCCTCACAAAAGGTGGCCCTGTCCCCAGCAGCATTTCCTCTAAACGTAGTGGCCGTAACTTGTTAAGCTCACCAATTAATATTGCACAACGACTTTGAAATCACTACCTTGACTTTTTCAAAGAAGTCCAAGGCCCTAACTGTTAGAAGCCCCTGAAAGTTTGAGATTCTAACAGGAGCAATGTACATCACTGCCACACACATATAACAACTCAGACACCTCACGAGAAGGCATTCGATGTGTAACCTGGCCTCCTCAGGGAATTCTGCTACTCACTGGGCTTTTAAAACTGAAGGCTGGTTCATCGATCAATCAAAGTCAGTGAGCCTACGAAAAAAAAAACAAAAAACAAAAAACAAAAAAACAAAGTCAGTGAGCCTAATACCTAGGGTTTGGCCTAGACCTAATTTCAAGGTAGGCTGAGTTATGGCTGTCTTGAAAATAAGAGTTTGACCCAATTCTGTCAAACACATCTCAAGAGGCAAGGAGGAAAGCTGCAGTGAGCTATGGGTGCTGAAGCTAACCTGGGGTGTGGATGTGGGAGCTACATGGGAGATAACCATACAGAGAAAGCAAGTTGGGGGAGAAGCAAGCAGATGTGCTGACGGAAGCAGAGCTGGGAAACCAGAGTTCCTGAGAGAACGAAGCCGTGGATCCAACATGAGAGTGACTATCCCTGGAATCGCCAGGATTCCTTCCCTTCCTGAGGTCTGGCAGTGCCCTCTCCAAAGCATGGGCATTGTAAGGTAAGATGTACTATCAACTTATTTCAAGGGAAAAAACACTACTACACTAAACATAAACATCCACCATAAGATGCAGCCTTGTTTCACATGTTAAAATGTGAAGATGTGTGTCTTAGAATCAAGGAAATGTGGAATTCCACTTGTATTAAGGAACTGAGATTTTATATAAATTAAGATGGAAGCTTTCAGTATTTTTCAAAAGTACATCACTTGAATGTCACTGAACTCAGGTAGGATGTGGATATTTCTGATCACTTTTCTCTTCTTAGAGTAAGATTCAAGGTTATTCTTGGAATAAGACCCAAGGTTCATGGTTTATAAACAGTGATACTCAAACACCAAAAGCCAGGCTTGACAGGGAATAAAGGGCAGATGACCAACTTAGCTAAGAGGGCAACTCCAGAGGTAATTTTAAGCCTTGTCATTTGGCCAGCTGTTTAGCTGTAGGCCTCATTCTGTTCATGAATAACAGGTGATGTGTTTTGGTGGCTTGGTGCTGGACATTTCAGTTGTTGGTCAACAACCCATAACAGCCCTAAATACAGATGTCCTATAACTTCAACCCCTAGTCTTTGGAGAGAGAAACAGCTCTCCAAAGAGAAAAGAGTAAGGGCAGATATTACTCACATCCTCCCACAGGTAATTCAGCTTCGTATATACCCCTGAAAGAGGGTTATGATATAACAACCTTTTAAAAAGGGACTAAAGGGTGAGAGAGTCTAATCAGCTTATCCTCATTCCTTAGGATGTGATAAATGGGTTTTGCTTGCTAAAGTCTTTCTCATGTTAGCGAGAATGCCTCTACCAAACAAGATTTGTGTTAAAAATTTGAAATTATTTTAAGAAAGTAACTTCACAAACTTCAATGCAAGCTATAACTGTAAGGGATGGGATGGGAAAAAATGAGAAGTTCTTTGACGCAGGAGCAGAGAAGAGAACCCAATATTTGTCTTCCCAATTTGGTACCTTTATAAGACAGCAAGCACATTTTGAGACATGGCTCCCTCCAGCTTCTAATTCAAGGACAACAGACATAGATTGTCAGCACGTGATAGACAGGGATACTTCCCAAAGTTCTTCAACAAGCTGAAGTTTGCTCTCTACAGGAAATTCATTTTAAGATTCAAATTTTCCTTTTTATGAAATCAACAAATTGTATTGACACTAAATGTTAAGTAGTATAATAAGTCAGAGGAAGCTAAATTGTGCACCCTCAAACAGAAGAACCAGATGCCAAGTTCAGGATTAGCTTCCTTCAGAGGATCCCCCCAGAGAATGAATGTTCAGGACTTTGCATGAAATGCTACAGGGGCATGGCAGTTTAAACGATAAACTTGGAAAAGTCGAGTTCAATTCCAGTTCTGCAATCAAATACACAGTGAAATGAGAACTTTGAAGAGTTCTTTTGCAGGATCAATCAAGGGTCTGCGTGTTTGATCACACAAAGCTCTCAGGTCTGAAGGAGACTACTGCTACTCAACTCAAGGTCCCACTAAACCACACTGAGGGTCTTGGGAGGGAGAAATGCAGTGGCCACAGCTCATCAAGGGGCACAGGAGGAAGCCTGTGTGGGGTGGGAGAGGAAGCAATGTGTTTACAGTGATTCTGGGGTTCCTAAGGACCTGCTGGAAAAGATAATTTGGAAGGCTTAAACAAGCAGTCTGTGAGAATATATGTGTGAAGCATCCAGAATACCAAAAAAGCAACTCCAGAGAAACTCAAACAATGTGAAAACACTTGGAAAACGGTTTAATGATGTTTTACAACAGAAATGAACTGTACAGTTACAGTAAGTTTAATATATATATAAAAAATTACAGCAGACAAATGCATCTACACAAAATCTACCATTTCATTCTGATTCACTGTCATCTATACAATCTCTCCCAGGCCTACAGCCCCTGCAGGCAGCCCCAGGAGGGGGAATCACATAAAGGGCACTTTTAAAGAGACAGCACCGCTCATATTCCCCACCACCTCCTCAGGACTCGGGAGGTATCAGCTAATTCCCCAAAATGTAAAGTTGCTTATTGTTTCAGGTTTTCAAAACCAAGAAAACATGTGTTTCCCAGGGGCACAGATAACAAGGTCCAGCACTCCAAGTTATCAGCTGATTCTTATAAAACATTCCTATGAGAGAAATGGCTAAACAGGCACTCTGGGACAGTGAGGCTACACAATAGCCACCCAGATTGCAAAGTTACCTAAGGAGAAATGTAAAAGGACTCCCAATAAACTACTTAGGAATTGTCACTGCCTCATTAAAGCTGCTGGACAATTTTGGAAAGAATCATTTACACCACATTTTAAGTTTCCACAAAGAAGAACTCAAACTCACATTTTAAAGTACATAAAACAAAAAGTTTTGGGAGGCCAAGGGCCAATTCCCCTTGTGTCCCTCCCTTGACAACAGTGGAAAAACACCCCTGAATCAAATTAATAAAAAAAAAAGAAGAAGAAGAAAAAAAAGGTGGGGGAGTTAAGATATTTAAAGACAGAAAGAAAACATCTTTAGAAAAACACGATCACTGTCTCTTTAAAACAAAACAAATCCCGGTTGGGAACAGTAATCAGCAAATATGCAATCCAAATTGACACCTGGTGGAAGATTATCATTGGATATTATGTACACTCAGAACTTTTTCATTTTCTTTTTTATTATGAACACCTAGGCAGTGAAAACTGGTATGTTAATACATACAGACACACACCCAAAACATACAAAAATACTATTATTTCAAACTACTAAGGACAGTTCAATTATTTTCATGCTATGACTTTAAGAGCATTACACTGAAACAAACAAGAAGTTAAACGACATTTTTTAATATCCCAGAAATATACCAAAATATACATCTAAGCTTTGGAATTACTGAGGTTAGACTAATGCAAGTGCTGGGTAATCGTACTTAATACACAAGTCTAAGGTTCTGCAGGAAAGAAATTATCTTTGGTATCTGCATCAGGCTAATATTATTAACATTTGGATTTTGCTTTGGGATAGAGCTTGTATGACCCTAGAACCAAATACCCCCTCCCCCAATCAACTGAGATTAAAAAGATCCATGTAAAAAGTTCCTTCATTTGCAATCCCCCCACCCCCTAAGTTAAAAAGTCACAGGCATCTACCTAGCACAAAAGGTTGTGAAATACGATGCATAGTTGCACAGTGGTGCTGCAAAAAGGAAACAAAACTACAATAAGGAGAAATGATAATCTTGATAATCTTTCTGCATGTTTTCTCACAAACAGGACAGCCGCTTCCAAGCAGTTCCAGTAAAGGAAAAGAGAAAAAAGGCTCAGAAGGGCACCTCAGCGTGTATTCACCCAGCCCTCAGAGGTTCAAGCACCCAGCAGAGCAGCCAATCTTGCGCCAGTGTCTTCAACTACCCCCCACTCTGTGGAGTCCATGGGCTGGTCAGCAGCAGCTCCCACCCGCCTTAGTCCCTCTGCTAAGTCCCCATGGTGACCATGGTTGTTATAGTGTGGATTATGGTGGTGATGAGTTTTGTCTTTTGTTTTGGAAAACCTAAAATGCCAATTTGTTCCATGGCATGCTCACAAGTTGGCAAGGGCCAAAGCTACCGAGCACGCACCTGCGCAAAACCCCGGAATGTGGAAACCAGCTTGCCTACCAGTTTTGTCTTTTGTTTTGGAAAACCTAAAATGCCAATTTGTTCCATGGCATGCTCACAAGTTGGCAAGAGCCAAAGCTACCGAGCACGCACCTGCGCAAAACCCCGGAATGTGGAAACCAGCTTGCCTACCCTTTCTGAGCCGGTCAGAGGTCCCTCCACCT